AAGGAAGGAAGGAAGGAAGGAAGGAAGGAAGGAAGGAAGGAAGAGCCAAAGAAGCCACAACCCAAGAATCTCTTAAGACCATTGACAGGGCAAGCCACTAGAATATAAACTGACAGCAAACCCCACTCCTTACTGACACTGATGATGTTACCTAGTTTGGTAACAAAACGTCTGCAAGAAAATGTCTATGGAGATTTTTTTTAAAAAAAGAGGTGACTGGACTTTCTTTGTTTTTTTCTTGGAAGGCATTTTCCTTCTCATCCCAGCTTCCACTCCGACCGGATGGTGGGGAATATCAGGATTTATAATACTCCCTGCAAACAGTCATTTGCATCCTTTTAGATGACCCGCTGTCTGCAAGGAGTATAAATCCTTCCATTCTCCACCATCAATTCAGAGCTGAAGAAGCTTCTTGGATGAGAAGCGAAACATCTTCAAGGAAAAATAAGTAAGTCCAGTTGCTTCTTGGGGAAAAAAAAGCACCCCAGGACATAGTCAAAGCTCCAAGTGGCCTCAACGACTCTCTAAAAGGATGCAAATGACCAGATATTGGACAAAAATATATACGTGGTTAGAAAAGATGATACAACATATTGATTTAAAACCTGAATTTTTTTCGTTGGGAATTTTACCTGAAATCTATAGTAAAGAGAGTGCATATTTAATTATCCTTGTATTAACTGCAGCTAGAATTGTATTTGCATAAAACTGGCAAAGTGAAGAGATTCCTACTGATGAGAGCGTGATCAGGAAAATATTAGAAATGTGCAGAAATGAAAAGGTTAACGCTAGCAGTTAGAGAAGGAACAAACTGAATATTATATGATATGGGTACTATTTTATCGATGGCTAGAGAATAAATATGAAAACTAGAAACAAAAGAAGGAAATATAGAAAACATGTTAATAGAATTAAATACGTTAAGATTGTTATAATAATTAGATATATTATGTATATCAATATTAAGAGTAGAGAATTAATAGCAATGTAATGAATAACGCTGTAAACTCTTAATTGTTATTGCACAAGATATTTGTACCCAGACAACACACAGGTTAATGGAAGATGGATTGTTTATATTAATGAATTAATGAATGAATTCTTTATTGGCCAAGTGTGATTAGAATAGAATAGAAAATAGAATAGAAAATAGAAAAGAAAAGAAAAGAATTCTATTTGGACTTGGACAACCTAGAACTACGCCTGATCTAAGCTTGGTACACAAAATTGCCTGCTACAATGTCCTACCTGTCAACGACTACTTCAGCTTTAACCACAATAACACACAGGCAAACAATAGATACAAACTCAAGGTAAACCGCTCCAAACGTGATTGCAGAAAATACAACTTCAGCAACAGAGTGGTCAAAGCCTGGAACTCACTACGTGACTCTGTTGTCACATCCTCAACCCCCCAAAACTTTAATCTTAAACTGTCTACCATGGACCTCACTCCATTCCTAAGAGGTCTGTAAGGGGGCGTGCATAAGTGCACCAGTGCGCCTACCATCCCTGTCCTACTGTTCCCATTTATTCGTATGCATTGATTATGTATATACTTATACCTGTTTATACTTATATGTTTATATATTATGTTCATACTTGTTATCTCATACATGCTTGACAATCAAATAAAATAAATAAATAAGAATAGAATAGAATAACAGAATAGAAGTAGGAATAGGAATTGGAATAGGAATAAGAATAGAAGTAGAACTAGAAGTAGGAATAGGAATAAAAATAGAAATAGAGTAACAGAATAGAAGTAGGAATAGGAATTGGAATAGTAATAAGAATAGAAGTAGAAATAGGAGTAGGAATAGGAATAGAAAAGAATATTTATTGATCAAATGTGATTGGACACACAAGGAATATGTCTTAGTGCCCATGCTCTTCACAAAGAAAAGATAATTAAAAATAAAATAACAATTTCATTTAAACAAAAATCTTCAAAGAAAAAAAACCAAGGAAGTCCAGTCGCCTTCGGTGGGGTGGAATAAATGCATCTTGGGGTCTGCGAAGAAACTCAGGGACCACCCAGGACCTTCCCGTTGCTCTGTGAAGGACGGCTTGAGAAGGCAGCAGGCCGAGAAAAGTTCCCAGGCTCTCCTCCACCTGTTGAACGGCCAGCCCTGGCTTCTCTCGCTGGGGCAAGCCAGAACCAAGAGCCTCTTACCTGCCCGGCCCTGCCAGTCTCACCTGTCAGATCTTCTTTCCCCAAGGATGCTGGAACCCCCCCCACACACACACCCGCCCCCCCAAAAACCCCAGAAGCCCGGAGGGACTCACCTGGCGCCTCCTGCCCACCAAAGCCGAGCCCTCCAGCCGGGGGACCCTTTATTTAAAGACGGCGGGACTCCCCCCTCCTCAAAAGACCCTCCGGCGCCGGTCACTTCCAGGCGCCTCTGGCCCCCCCCTCAATCTTCAGCGCGCCGGTCCTGTCCCCTCCACGAGGGGAGGGGCGGGGGCGTCGCCTGGCCACACCCACCACCCGGAGGGGTGGGGGTCGAGGAAGAGGAGGAGGTGGGGGGGGACCCCAGCCCCACCGGTCGTTTCATTCAAATCAGGACTCGACCATTCTGAACAAGAGAGAAAAAAGGGAGGGTTCCAGTAGGGGGGGAAATGGGGCAACCCCCTCCCCATTTTAGGGTCTCCCCCTTTGGGAAGGGGGGGTCTTTGGGAGTCTTGCCAATCCTTCTCGACCCCTCCAGAGACCTTCCGCCCGACTTTTGCAACCTTGCCGCCCCCTCCCCTTCCACCCCCGCGACACCTGGCGCTTTGGTACAGTCCACGGGCTGCCCGGGGATTCGCTTGTCTCTGTTTGCAGGTAGCTCCGTTGCTGGGCCGGGCCGGTCGGCTGGCTGAGCTGAGATTTCTTACGGGGCTGGGGCCGTGGAGCGCCTTTTACTGCTACTATTACTACTATTACTACTACTACTACGCCTGGATTTTGCAAAAGAAAGCAAAAGTCTAGTTGGACAAAGAAAGCAAAAAAAAAAAAAAAACCCCTACAGGTTTGTACTTTGCAAAAGAAATATAATACTAATGCTAATAATAAATATTTTTGCAAGCCTCGACTCGAGTCTCACTCTTTGGCATCTCCGTGGTTCGGGGAAACTTCTGGGACCTTACAAATACAACTACTACTTGCAAAAATATTTATTATTAGTATTAGTATTATATTTCTTTTGCAAAGTACAAACCTGTACGGTTTTTGGGTTTGTTTTTTTGCTTTCTTTGTCCAACTACAGTCTTTTGCTTTCTTTTGCAAAATGCAGGTGTGCTATACATACATACATATATAAATTTTGCTTTCTTTTGCAAAATCCGGGCGTGCAATATATATATATATATATAAGCAATCTTGCTTTATTTTGCAAAAACCAAGTGTGCTATATTATTTATTTATTTATTTTGCTTTCTTTGGCCAACTACAAACATTCTTTCTTTTGCAAGAAGAGTTGCTTCCCAAATTGCGGTGTTATTTCATCTTACAGTTACAGAGGGGTGAGCCCCCCCCCCCCCCCCGGATCTCGCCATCTCTGCCTGCTTGTGTCTCTTCCAAGGATGCATTTTCTGTCAGAAAAAAATAATGCATATCTTTGATATATAGGTGATGCATCAGAAACAACTGATCACCCAATAATATATTGATTGCATGTACATTGAATATGCTATATAATATATTGAATAAGAGGAGGGGAAAACGATTCTGGATAACATTCAACAAGTGGCAAATTTATGGGTTACTTTATTTTTTCCCAGCTGGATTTGTATCTTTCTTAAAATGTGGGAGTGTATTTTTAACTTTTGTATCTTTCTTAAAAGTTGAAAGTGTTTTTTTCCCCTTTTGTGTCTTTCTTAAAACTTGCTAGTTTATTTTTTTCCTTTTGTGTCTTTCTTAAAACTTGCAAGTTTATTTTTTTTTCCTTTTGGGTCTTTCTTAAAACTTGCAAGTTTATTTTTTCCCTTTTGGGTCTTTCTTAAAACTTGCAACTTTATTTTTTTCCTTTTGTGCCTTTCTTAAAACTTGCAAGTTTATTTTTTCCCTTTTGGGTCTTTCTTAAAACTTGCAACTTTATTTTTTTCTTTTGGGTCGCAAGTTTATTTTTTATCTTTTGTATCTTTCTTAAAACTTGCAACTTTATTTTTTCCTTTTGTGTCTTTCTTAAAACTTGCAAGTTTATTTTTTCCCTTTTGTGTCTTTCTTAAAACTTGCAAGTTTATTTTTTTTCCTTTGGGGTCTTTCTTTAAACTTGCAAGTTTATTTTTTCCTTTTTGGGTCTTTCTTAAAACTTGCAAGTTTATTTTTTCCCTTTTGTGTCTTTCTTAAAACTTGCAAGTTTATTTTTTTCTTTTGGGTCGCAAGTTTATTTTTTACCTTTTGTATCTTTCTTAAAACTTGCAAGTTTATTTTTTTCTTCTGTGTCTTTCTTAAAACTTGCAAGTTTATTTTTTTTCCTTTTTCTTAAAATTGTAAGTGTATTTTTTTTTTTTTTTTTGTAAGACGATGTAAAAAAAGATGGTGAGACACTGGAAAGAGTGCAGAGAAGAGCAACAAAGATGATTAGGGGACTGGAGGCTGAAACATATAAAAAACAGTTGCAGGAATTGGGCATGGCCAGTCTAGGGAAGAGAAGGACCAGGGGAGACATGATAGCAATGTTCCAATATCTAAGGAGTTGCCATTAAAGAAGAGGGAGTCAAGCTATTCTCCAAAGCACCTGAGGACAGGTTAAGAAGCAATGGGTGGAAACTCATCAAGGGGAGAAGCAACCTAGAACTAAGGAGAAATTTCCTGACAGAACAATTAACCAGTGGAACAACTTGCCTCCAGAAGTTGTGAATGCTCCAGCACTGGAAGTTTTTAAGAAGAGATTGGACAACTATTTGTCCGAAATGGTATAGGACTTCCTACCCGAGCAGGGGGGTAGACTAGAAGACCTTTAAGGTTCCCTTCCAACTCTGTTATTCTAAATACTTCTAAATCATCTAAACTTCCTTTGTCTTGGTATGAACGTTTCACAGTGTTGTCATCACCGGGAAAATAACAAGATGTAATCTGCTATTTCTGTTCTATCCAAAATGTCCTCATTTTTCGTGCTTTTGTCTGAGCAACTTTTGAGTTGGCATCGAGATATTTTTTTATCATAAGACACCTCATGGATTAAAGAGGATATTTGTAGCTCAGGAGCTAACTGTGAACCCCTTGGTGCTCTCTGAGCTTGGTAGTTTTCTTGCAGGCATTTCATGACCCAACTAGGGAACATCGTCAGTGCTAGAAAGGAGTGGGGTTTTCTCTGTGTTTATGTACAAGTCGTTTGGCTTGTACACCATTCCATTTGAACACTGATGGTGTTACCTAACTGGGTAATGAGATGTCTTCCAGAAAACCAAGCTCAGAGAGTACCAAAGACCCTGCAGTCTTCCTTCTCCATTCGACAGACCCCCCACTCCTGTCTTGACACTGATGATGTTACCTAGTTGGGTCATGAGATGTCTAGAAGAAAATCTCCCAGCTCAGAGAGCCCCAAGGACCCCACAGACTTCCTTCTTCTCCATTCCACAAAACCCACCCCTGTCTGACACTGATGATGTTACCTAGCTGGGTTATGAGATGTCTAGAAGAACACCTCCCAGCTCAGAGAGCACCAAGCATCCCAACACCTCATGAATTCCATGACTTGATGAATCAACAGTGTCACGATGAAGGAAGCGTGGAGTCCGTTACCTTCATCAGCCAGGTCTCATCCCCAGCAAAATCTAATTTCCTCGGATCCATTCAAAACCTCAATCATACCTGCGTGGTTCACTTAAGATCTAAGCAAATACGTTGCGCAAGGTTGGAAGTGCCTGAGATAGGGTTGCGTTACCCAGGGCATTGTGGTAAGCGCACAATTTTTCAAAAGGGGCTAGAAATGAAGGCCGTTTCCTCTTCAGAAGTTGCCAAGTCATAGTTGGCACGAGGCAAAGGAGGAAAAAGATCAGTGAGGGAAAGCTTTGTACAGCCTTTTCCATGAATTACATCGGAAGGGTAGGGTGAAGAAGAAAAGAGGAAGAAGAAGAAGAAGAAAAAAGAAGGCCCTGGCCAGGAACAATGACAAAGAAAGCACTCAGAGAAACTTGCTTTGAAGGCGAGTTATCTCAAGATAAATCAAGGTGGAAGTTGGGACCACAAGGTCATATGCCTTGCATGTGAAAACAGCATGGATTGGGATCGTGTGGTCAGAAAGGCAAATTATTCTTGCACCTATTAACCGAGTGTGTCTATGCATTTATTTTGGGTTCTTGACGTTGGGTTCTTGATGCTCATTGAGCTTGGTGGTTTCCTTGCTGACGTTTCGTGACCCAGCTAGGGAACAACCATCGGTGCTAGAAGGTTGCGTGGGGATTTGTAGAGTGGAGGAAGGAGGAAGAGGACCGTGGGGTCCTCTCTGAGCTCGGTTGTGTCTTTGCAACTGTGTTTCATGGTCGACTGGGTGACATCTTCGGTTCTAGAAGGGAGAGTGGGGCGATGGCCTAGAAGTGGAGCTCTCCCCCTACGATCGGGAGGTTGTGAGTTCGATCCTAGCTAGAGGCAGACATTTCCCTCTCTGGGCACAGTGAGAATGTATCTGCCGAACAAAACTCCACATTGGCGACAGGAAGAGCATCCGGCCAGTAAACACTCAGGTCCATTCAGTTGCCCAGACTCCACCCTGAAGCAAGGGATTATGGGGGTCATTAAAAGATGATGATGGGAGTTTTAGAAGGGAGTGAGGTTTGTGAGGAGGAGGAGGAGGAAGAAGACTCTGGGGTCCGTGGTGCTCTCAGATCGTGGTGGTTTTCTTGCAGACATTTCACAACCTGGCTAGGTAACATCATCAGTGCTAGAAGAGAGTGTGAGGTTTGCTGGCTGTTTATATATAGTAGATTGCCCAGCTGCTCTTCTTCCTTGATGGATGTCTGATCATTAGGCTATGTTTCATCCCTGAGGTTTGTCTGGGGTTATTTGCTGCTTATCTGAGTGCTGGCAGCTGGAAAGGATGTGTTCCAGCTGTTTGATTCCTTCCCGGGCTTTTGATTACAGTTTGATCGATGGAGTGCATGTAAATGAGGTTTATCTCTATAGGCCTGTTGATGGTTAAGTTGTCTGAATGCCAAGCGTCCAACTGACTCAGTCTGTCCACGACTAAGGAGATTTTGTCCTGTTTTCTGACTGCTACTGGTAGTTAGTGTTCAGGGATGGGCTCTGCTAGATCTCTACCGGTTTGTCCTTCACAGTGGCTGTTACAGTCCTTACATTGTCCATTGTAGATATCTCCTGGTGGGTATGGTTTGTTATTTTTTTTCCTTCTTCTTTGGCTACCAGATCAAGATGTTCTTATTTGATTTTTTTCTCTCTCTTGCTTGTCTCTACTTTGTTACCACCAGCACCGTGTAGATTGCACACACGATATTCTCCA